AACCGTAACTTGGTCGCATTTTTAGAATGACCTCGATGAGCTCACCCATACCGAAGTCCTCTCCTGTCAAGTCATGATAATTTCCCATGTCTGACCGGGAACTTGGTATATTTCTAGATATTTCGCCCCCATCCTTAGTCGGCATCAAGCTATAGCTCATCAAAAGAAAAGTCTCTGGCAATGCAGCAGCGCGTCGTAAAGGTAGCACGTCGAAAACTTCAGCTAGATTGCCCAAGTTCGAATCCCGTTGAGAACGCTGATGAGACTGATACTACTTTTGGGCCTGGATGAGAGTATAGTCTATTAGAAGAAAAGATCTATTCTTATTCTTATTATGGAAAGATTTGACCATCAGCTCTTTATTATCTAATGCGACCTGGACTGACTGCAGCCCTTGCTCAGTTCATAGTCTGGAAACATATTTATCATGAATACAATATTTCTAATATTTATTTTATACAGAGTCAAGAGCCATCCAGTATATTCAGATCTTTGGTAAATTTGTAGGTGAATAACTTATGTGATTGAATGAGGCTAATACAATAGAGAGGTCGAAATATAACCTCTGATGTAGTACGAAAAGATGGCTTCAAAAGTGGACAGCTTTATGGAAACAAATCAAGAAGCATATTATAAGCTATTGGTTCCTAACACAAAAAGTATAAAATATTCGTCTTACTCTTTCAGAGTCGTCTCAAGGTCCACAAGTTCTGTCCGCGATGTGAGATTGGACCACGAATTCTCGCTTAATTGGCACACGACTTGCGCAAGACTGCTGTAGTCTATGGAAGGGCGGCTAGGAGAGGGCGCAGATATCGTGTCGGAAGAGAGGAAACGAGATGCATCACCCATTTTGATGAACCTCTCTTCAAGGCTGATCAAAACAGGACAACATTTTAAAGAGGCTATAAAGTAATATAACTATGAAATGTATTCATCATACTTCATTTAAGGTGATGGAGGACTGGTAGTTGAATTTTCCCACAATTTGATGAGCAGATCTGACGCCGAATTTCACATAGCCTTATCTTGATAAGATCTAGGCGAGGTAGAAACTGCAGTCCACTTCAGCCTTGATGAGAACACCTTTGGAGAGGCAGGACCATGTGAAATTTAATGTAAGCGTCAGCTCCACTCATTAGATTGTGGGAAAATGCAACTACTAGTCCTTCATCACCTTACGATAAATACGATGAATACATCTTATATAACTGATTTATTGAGTCTAAAAACCCTACTCATAACCTAATAATATAACTATTCAACGTAGTCTAGGGAAGGTCATTGCGACAATATACGAAATTAGGTTGGACATGTAAAAGTAAAGCTGTAAAGTAAAACGGCGCTTCTATACTCCCAATAAAGTGTACAGGATCTGGAGGTGCGCAAGCTCTAACTCGACTTGAAGCTGATTTAAAGGCAGATATGGCTCAATTAAAGAGGTTCTAAAACTCGAAATAGAAAAGGTCAATTTATGTAATCGACACATAATATTAGCCTATAGACAACATAAGGTTGACTACTCCAAAAGTCGACATAATATGAGATGTGAACCAGACTTATGCAGAGATAAGAAGAAAGCCACCTGCAGAGCCTGGCATGGCAGTATTGCATCCCGATGCCAGTCATATCAGTACCAATCTGCAGCCGCCGGCGTCTAGCGATAGAAGAAGACTCTCCAAAAGGAGGAATGGCGTCGAGCTTCGAACCGGCTTGTCGAGCAGCCTCCTGTTTTGTCTCTGCGTCGTCTTCAGCCCAACAGGAGACGTACTTCTGCCGTGGCTTGCGCAGCATCTCAGCAACAATTAGAGTAACGCCTAAGTGGTCGGCAACCTGGGCGCGGTCTGTAGCATCCGTTTTGAAGCGATCATCTGAGCACCGAGCACAAAAACAATATAATATACAATATCTTTCAACATTATTCGAGCACCAAAGGGCAAGGTGGGCATGTGCTGAAGAGCCGCAATTCATGATACAAAAAGGCAATTCCCAACTCCCGACAGAGCCTTTTCATTTAATAGGCATTGCGCACTCGAGGCGATGGGCGTCTTTGCAAGCTTACCAACCTAAAGATACCTCTTATGGCACTAAAACGGTTATTAGATCCAGAAGGAAAAAGTAGGACTTGTTTACACGAACATCTTTGTGCACTAAGTCACATCTTCGCATCTTTTGTTTCTCAACAGATACAATTAGAAGTACAGACATGTTATCCATTTATATTTTCAAAATGGAAATTACTTGGCCCCTACCCTATCTTATCAGAGTTCGCATGTCTTCGAATTTATGGTCGCCCAGTTTGGCTACCTATACGCACTATAATGAAAATACTCAGTTAGTAACCAAGGTAGTTAGACGATGATCATTATCAATCAGGCGCAGATGATGGTATAAACTTGTAGAAGTTCTTGAATGTGACCCATCTGGGCGAGCAAGCTCCTTTTTCCACTTCTTCTTCAAAGAATATATCCAAAGTGCAACAGATACCTCCCATAAATGTCCAGAAACGTATGGAAGTCGCAAAAGTGAGGGCAAACCGGTCCAACGGAAAATTACATGGCAATGATTTCCATGATGCCGGTGAAGACAAGACACTTGATTGGGCCATAGTTCAGAGACCAAAGCCACAGCCCCTCCGGTGGCGGTCAACAGCATGAGTTGTGCTTCTTAGTGGCCACTTGAATTGCCTAAATTTGTGCTACGCTGGCCCGACTGGAGGCCAAATGAATGCCTCCAGTAAGACATTTTTATGAATCCACAAAAGTTAGTAAAACTTGTAAAAATACTGCTCACGATACTCGTTTAAATAAGAGCTGACGAATGGACAAAACTTAATTCGCACTAGAAGCAAATATATTCTGAAAAAAAGGACCTTGTGCCAGTGCTGGATTTAAAAAGAATTAATATTATCTTTGAAATGTATTCACAGTGTGTGATGAAGGACTGCAAATTGGATTTTCCCACAATCGCATGAGTAGACCTTATAGCTACATTGACTTTCGCATAGCCTTGGTTCCCAAAAGGTGGGCTGCAGTTTATACCTCACCTAGATCCTATCGCACTCCAGTGGAGTGGTGGTTAACGTATCGAGATTACTCGCTGGACCGTCGTGGTGCAACTCCTGCTGGAGGTGTTGATAAAATCGAGGCGAAGTCGAA